CGCTGGGGCCCCTCTGGTGCCCAAGCCTGGTGCCTGCTGCCGGAATCACCCAATTGAGCTGCAGTTGGGCAGCTGCTGGTCTTGACCCTGCCACTTTCCCCAGCCAACCCCTGCTGCTAATGAGCAGATTTATAAACTCCAGCCAGAAAACCCTCCGGAGGCGGCGCCGCCCTGCGCTGCCCAGAGCTGCCCGTCAGTCCCTCTGGCCGCGCACAGGCAGCCTGCTCTGGTGCAGAGGCAGCGCCCGCAAGCCCGGCTGAGCAAGGTGCCCCCTTCTGCCCCAGCTCCGCTACCCGAGAAGCCGGTGGGAATCCACCCCCTGGATCTGGCAGCCTCTGACCTCCTGAGGAGCGTGGCCCTCGCCTGGAGCCCAGCCCAGCCCGACACACGGCCGTGCTGCTTACAGGAGGAGGCCGGGGCACCATGCGGGGGGTGGGGCACTATCTGGGGGCATGTTGTGAAGCCGGGCAACAATTTTTCAGTGACCAGCAATTTTGCCCAAAACACGTTTGTGCCAATTCAGGGCAAATCGGGGGAGCGGCCTGTCTCTGGCCATGGGACGCAGCCGACCCGCTGCCCCGGGCTGTCACAGGCAAAGCAGCTGAGCCTGCCGAGCAAGTCACACCCCACGCTCACCCCCAAGACGTTCCGCTGGCTCCTCCTTGCTCTGCGACTGTCCCTGCTCGGCGGGGAGCCAGAGAACCGAAGCCTTGAGTGCAGGGGCAGATTTATCCACTTTAAACGGGCTCCAGGAGACACTGAATCCACATTCTAACAGGAGGGAGCTGAGAGACTCATCTGAGCTCCATTGATGTCCCACCAGCTCTGCCTGCTTGGCCAGGTGGGAACTGGGCCCAGCCATTTCCACCCTACAGCAGCTCAGGACAGAGCTCAGCCTATTAAAAAAGAGCAGAGCTCTGTAACGGCTTCGCTTTAACATCAGAGCGGCCAGACGGGGTCAGCCCAAAGACCCATCCAGCCCCGGGTCCCGCCTGCCCACGGTGGGCAATGCCAGGGGCCCAGAGGGAGCGAACAGAACTGGGAATCCTCACACGATTCCTCCCGTCAACCATTCCCAGCCTCTGGCAAACATGCCACTCAAGAGGGGCAGGAGCTGGGGACAGGCGTGTAACTAAGTGATGCTGGTCCCCGGTACCGCACTAGAGCCCTGGGAAGTGGGTGCCGGTTTATCCTGTCGTCACACTGGCTGATGCGGGTTGGTTATGGGAGTTTGGGACGTTGTGTCGAACACCATGCTGTCCACAGCGCTGGTCCCTGCAGATCTTTTATAAAGACAAATTGGGCTTCAGCAGAAACATTCTGCCTGCCCCGCAGCGTCGTTTCGGACTAACGGTGAGCTGGAGGGTGTCTTACTCCGACCCCTGTGTGATGGCGCGTCGGGCTTTTCCCCGTCTCCTGCACCCCCGTAGTGGAATGAACAGACTCCCCCAGCCAGTAGAATAGAGGGAGTTTATTGCTTCTCCAGGATACAGCACAGCACAGATGTCATCTGGTTCCAGGGCAGGCCTAGGATGCCTCAGCCCCCCTTGAGATGGGGGAGACTGGGCCCCTAAATTCCAGCCCCTTTCCCTAGGCTGTCTCCTCCATGCTCCCAGACAGAGACTAAAACTCTCTTCCAGCCCTGCCCCCAGGCAGGCGACATTCCACCTTCCTTTGTCTCTCTCCCTGGGGGGTAGCTGGTCGGACAGGTTGAGAGACCCTTGCCTAGTGACTCAGCCCCTGTCCTGCTGGGCTGTGCTACAGACAGCAGCCAGTGGAGGTCACCCACAGCCCCAGCATAGCAACCAGCAAGGCACCCCCACTACGTCAAACCCTGTAACCCGCGTTGCACAAGGAGCAAGGGCAGGCAAAGGAAGGGAGTTCACAATTGATGTAGCTGAAGTCACATCACTTAGTTTGACTTTTGCCCTGCTGGGCCGAGGTGCCCTGGCAGCCGGGCACACGGAGACAAGGGGGAATCGAATTTGTCCCACGTTTGCACAGTGAGTCAGGGCAGAATCCCACCGTCTGGACTCCCATTTTCCCTGGCCTGGCCACTGGCCACAGGACTCTCCCGGAGCTGGGACTGGGAGCCAGGCTGCCGGCTCTGGAGTCCCACCTGCTGTCACATTAACAGTGGGGTGTTAAATGGTGGCACTTTTTCTTGTTTGGCGTTTGGTTTTTATGGGTAAAGAGCCACTTGACTGCAGGAAGGGAAAGGTTGTTCCTGCTTTTGTAATGCCCTAAAATCAAACAAGTTAAAAACCTGCCACTTCCTTCCCCGGGTGCCGCGGGGCCGGTCAGACAAGGGAGAAGTGGCAAGTTTCTGCACTCTGGCGTGTACCACCCCTGCATTAACCGCCTTCAATGCCAGCGCTGGCCGCCGGGGCAGAAAGCGCTTTCTAGAGGCCCCCGTGCCCCGTGGCAGAGCAGGGACAGGGCCTGGTCCTTCTAACGGAAACACCCCGCGTGGGCAGGTAGAGCTAGAGGCCTTCTCCCTCCCTCGGGCTGCAGCCGTGGGCACTTGGCTGGAAATGCCAAGCCCCTGAGCCCAGGTGTGAGCGGGAAAGGGGGCAGTTGGGGGAACACTCGGGAACAGGGAGGGTCCCCTACACCACACGGTCACTTCTGTGAACCCTCCACCTTCCATCCCACTCATCTCCCCCCCCCCCCCCCACACACACCTGCTAAACTGCAGCCTGATTTACTGGCAGCCGGTCTAGGTCATTACGCGGGTGTTTGCGTCCTCCAAGGCCCTGAAGACATCATTAACGCCCCAAATAGCCCATCATTAGCACAGATCCTCGAGTCCCCCAGTGCTTATTAAGAGCTCTCACCTCCATGGCAGGGCCTGGGGAGCAGCCTCCTCTGGGGAAGGCGTGACTCGTAGGGATCAGCTGTGCGGCCCAGGGGACGCGGTGCCACCAGCCAAGGCTGCTCACACGTATTTACGGGCGTGCGGAGCCGTGGAGCCGCCGTGGAGCGGGAAAGGAATCGACGGGGTGGATTTTGCAGCCCACTGTGTCCACAAGCAGGTGGGATGTAGGCACAACTTGCTGTGGAGAACGGAGCAAACTCCAGCCTAGGGCCCGCACCGAGCAGCCCGTCGTGTTACCCTAAAACAGGGGCTGAGGCAGCAGAGTGCCTGGCTGGGACAGGGGTGCACAGAGCAGAACGCCCGAGCCCAGCACTAGGTCTGGGTCACACCAGCGGGAGAGACACACCCTGCTTTGAGTCCCTCATTCACCCAACAGCGCAGCTCTTCTCGGAGGCCCCCAAGCCCCACGCAGCATGCTGGCTCTCGCAGCTCATCGCCCCAGTGCCCAGGAGTGCAGCTTGTTCCTCACTCTGCTTCAGTGCCTGGGCCCTGCGCTTTCCAAAGCCTGGGGAGACACTGGGGACGAACTGCCCTTGAGCATGTGTGGGGGGTGAGGGGGGCGGCTCCTGAGTTAGACCTTGGAAGGGAAGCAGGAGGATGGATCCATTATGGCCTCTACACTCACCCGACAGCCACCTGCACCGATCCCCGCAGGCGTCCCACGCTCATGGTGGGCGGTGGGAGCACAGCACGGGGCTTTCCTAACCGGATGAGTCAGGTTCAGAGGAGGAGCCGAGTTAGTCCGTAACTGGAACAACTTAAAAAACAAAGGCTGCGTCTAGACTGGCAAGTTTTTCTGCAACAGCAGCCGCTTTTGCGGAAAAACTTGCCAGCTGTCTACACTGGCCGCTTGATTTTGCGCAAAAGCACTGACGTTCTACTGTCCGAAATCAGTGCTGCTTGTGCAAATGCTTTGATGTTCCTGTTCGGGCAGAAGCCCTTTTCCGGAAATGTTTTTGCGCAAGAGGGCCAGTGTAGGCAGCTAAAAACTGTTTTGCTCAAAAAAGCCCTGATGGTGAAAATGGCGATCGGGGCTTTTTGCAGAAAAGCGTCCATGCCAATCTAGATGCTCTTTTCCGCAAATGCTTTTAATGGAAAAACTGGAGTATTAAAAGGCCAGATCCAAGAATAAATAAGGGAAAGGAGAGAAAAAAAGACAGTGAATAGATCCGTGCTCACCAAGCAGTACACTGGGGTCTGCCAGTAGATCTTGGAGCCTCTGGCAGGGGATCCTGACTGGTTTGGCCAGGAAGCTCTCAAGTGCTGGCCTCCCCGCTCTGCACAGAGAGAAG